TCTTTCTGGAGGTCTTCCTCCAGGCGGCGGAGACGCGTCGACTCAGCGCTGATCGCCGCAGGGTTGTGTTGCGGCTTGCTGCTGCGACTGATTGGGGGAGTCTCTGAGCGGCCGAGCAACAACTGGGGCCGCTGGGCTGTGACTGCGTGCGATTGCGCCCTGTCCGCCCACCAAGATGAGCTGCTGCCCCCTCCTGACTCGAGCGGCCTGTAAAGGGCACGATCGGTGGGAGGAAGCTTGCGTAGCATGAGCTGTCTCTTGACCGCGTGCACCCCACCTTCTTTCTGCGCGAGCAGAGTCAGCGCCTCTGCCTCGGCGAGCGTCAAGTTCTCCTCGACAATGACAAACGCGTGCGCGTTCATCGCCGCGAGGAGTGAGTGGTAGGCAGTCTGCTCGACGGGTTGCTTCCGCCAGAGCACCGCGAGCTTGACCGCAACGGTCAGCTCGTCCAACAGGTCCTTCAACTTGTTGCCCTGAGGGGTGGGGTTGGGGGCCCCCGACGTCGTGTACATGGCGTAGATGCGGTCCAGGCCGTCCTTAATCTGCTGCGTGGGAGAGGGGAGGTTGCTCTTCACGTAGTCAAACACGTCGCCGATTGACTCGGCCTTTTTCCTCACCTGAAGCTCCGCCTTGTTCTCCTCCGAACCCTCGGGAAACAGGCCCAGAGTGGCTGCGGACACCACGTCGGCGCTGTCGTACGTGAGCGACTCCGCCGCGTTGTTGACCGCCGATTTGATCGCGTTGACCACGACGCTGGTGCGGTGCTCGTCCGCCGCCTCCTTGAGCCTCAAGTTCGCCTCGTTGGCCATCTGGCGCCGGTACTCGTGCTGCGAGACCTTGTTGCACCAGTATGAGTTCGCCATCTCGCTCTCCTCCCGCGTGTGCAGCCCCACCCGCAGCTGCAAGTAGAGGGTCTCAAACTCGGGCTTGAGGCGCAGCGGGGCGAGGATGTTCCGCAGGATCGGAATGAGGTCGTGCATGCAGGGCGCCTCGCCCCCGTCGGCGCCGATGGCGATGTGGCCCTCGGAGTCGCGCGGCCGGGCCATGCTGCCCACGATGATGCGCGTGACCATGCCGTCGACCGTGTCGAGCATCTTGCTGACGCCGTCCGCGACTTTAACGCGCAGTGCTCCACGTTCCTTGAGCTCGTCCCGCTCCTTCTTCGGCAAATCTGGGGCCTATCATGGGAAACACGCGTTTTTGTTGGCACCGGTCTCCCACTCCTCTCCCGCTTCGACTCTCGGCGGCCTTGGCGTTGGACTTGTCCGCCTCACCTTCACGGCGCAACGCGTCCGCCTCGCCCCGCGCGATTTCGTACTTGTTCAACTCGCTCCCGAGCTGCGGCAGGTAGTTGTCGTAGAACATCTTGCGCATCACAGCCACCTCCTTGACCTTGGACTCGGTCTGGTCGGCGCGCGGGTCGCCCGGGAGGCACGCACCGAGCATGTCGTGATGCGCGGCCTGCACCTCGGTGTTGGCCATGTAGCCGCTCTGGACGTTGTTAGCGGCCAGGTTCGTCACCGCGTACGCCTTGGTGTGTTGGTCGCCCGACTTGCCGGACTTGGCGTCGCGCCCAACGACCAGCCGCGTCAACGACTCCGGGACGTTGACGTCGTTCGAGAGGAGCGAGTGGATCGTGTTGCGCACGTCCTTGACGACCATGTTTTCGAGCTCCTTGTAGCGGCCCTCCGGGATGAAGCTCTTCGCGTGCGCGTGGTCCAGAAGGGTGCGCAAGTCGTCGCTCTGTTTAATGGGGGGGGGTGGAGGGTGGAGGGGGTAATGGCGAGAGGAGGTGGGGGGGGGGGGGGGGCTCTGCGCCTCAAACGTGCCAAACTCATAGGGCCGCGTCTGCTTGCCGATCAAGGGCATGTGCTGGCCCTTCCCGCCGATGCACACGTCCCTCACGCCCGTCTCCGTCTTCTCCTTCTTCGTCACCTCATCGAGCCACGTGTGGACGGACGGCAGCTCGATCGACTTCTCGAGAAACAGGAGGTTGAGGTAGTGCAGCGCGATGTGGAACTTAGCGCACTTGGTCAAGTCCTTGTGATCGCCCACCTCCTTGATGTAGGTCTGCGAGCCGTGGGCCTTGAGAAAGGTCGTGATGGTCCAGTAGTACGGGGACCGCTTGTTCTCGATGTACGTCGGGTTGCCGGAGGCGTGGTCGGCCTGCCGCTCCTGGACGCCGCCCCACACCGGGTCCTGGACATTGGTGTTTCGCAGGCCCAGGGCGCGGTAGAGGTTGAGCTGCGCAACGACGCGGATGCCCTTGGACTTGGCCATGTCGTAGCCGGCGAGCACGATGCCGGTGAAGTCGTCGTGCTTGAGGACGAGATTGCGTCCCTCCTCGTAGGCGGTGCCGTTCCGCACCCGCTCCAGCATCTGGACGAAGGAGATCTTGAGGAGGAGGTTGCTGCGCGGCTTGATATCCGTGACGAGCTTGTCCGTGCAGTTGCACTTGTTAAAATGCTTCTTCAGCACGTCGCGGAAGAAGCTGAGGTTTTGGGAGGAAAGGATGAGAGAAGTGGATAGGGAGGGGAGGTCTGAGGGATGGGCGTCACGTACGCGTCAATCGCAATGACCTGGTTCGGGCAGATGTCGCGGGTCTTGTCGATCTGCATCGTCCCGCAGATGACGTCGTAGACGTCGCTCATGTAGTCGGTCACTGACTTCTCATCCATCGTGGTACACTGTAGGAGGTGGGATGAGGGGGCGGGCGTGAGAGCACGTCGTCGACTACTCCAGTCGGCTACTGCTGCTGTTTGCGTGCCTCCTTCTCGTCGATGTAGCTGCAGAAGTGCCTGCGCGGGTCGCTGCCACCGAGCAGCTCCTTCATGTACCGCTCCCCTGCTCTCACGTTCTGCAGCGTCGACTCACTCTCACCGGGCGCGCGCGTCACACGTGCGGTCGCCTGACACGCGACGCGGTTGTGTGTGGCAAAAGAGCGAGGGAGTGGCCGAGGGAGTTTGCTGTCAGTCGCGTGTGGCGTATGTGAGAGGGAGGTAGAGGGGGTGGGGGGGGGGGGGGGGGGGGCGTGGCTATGGGGACTGAGAGTCAAAACGTGCCGGCGCCACGGCGACACTGTGACGCGCCGCGCTGTTGGGAGCTGAGAACTGGGGCAGGCTGGCGCCGTCCGTGCGAGGGTAAGAGCGCTTGGAAGGAGAGAGAAGAGAGGATGAAGGCGGAGGAGGGAGAGGAGGGAGTGAGGGATGAGGCAAGCGCAGCGCTGGAGCGGCGCGCGGCTGGGGCGGCGCGCGCCGCAGCGATGGGGGCGGAGAGCCGGGGTGGAGGCTGTGTGGGGGTGTGGGAGGGCGTCGGTGAGCGCTCTGGAGTGTGCCGCGCGCCATGGCGCGTCGACGGAGGGCTGGCGGAGGGCGGACGGGGCGGACTGGCGCGTGGGCGGCCGGACTCGGAGTCTGGAGCCACGTTTCGGAGGCGGCCCCCCCCCAAGTGGCGGTGGCCGGCAAACGGCAAAGAATTCCGCGTATGGTGTGCTGTCATGAGGCGGGATCGGCGAGAGACTGCGAAGAGAGATATCGAAGAGAGATAGTAAGTGAGGCAGCCGCACACCTTCCTTCCCGTGACATCCCTGTGTGTGTTGTCTTGACGGCGTGCCGTCCTCCCACATCCCTCCTTTGGGGAGGGAGAGAGAGAGAGAGAGATCCCAAGGGGGGGAGCTGATCCCACTCGGTAACCAACTCTCAGGGGCAGTAGGTGGGCGGGCTTCAAGCGCGCTCATCTCGAACGACAAGGCGTCGCTACGCGCGGTCTTCCGCGGGGGGAGCTTCGTCGACGGGTGCGGGAGCGCAGCGCAGACAGTGCTGCGGCGATGCCTCCGGCTGTTTGCGGCGGGCGGCTTGCTGCTCGCGGCGATGGCGAAAAACTCGTCTCGTGGCACACCAAGGGCTTATGCTCTGTCGAGACGTGAGGCGTGTGCGCCCAGGAGGGGAGGGCGCATGCGTAACGACGCTGCTAGAGATGCCTTTCGGGGCCCAGAGATAAAACTTCTGATGCCATGCGTGACCTAGTAGTGTCCCCAGCTATGGGCGTGTCCACGTTGGAGCCAGGTGTGGTGTGGACGCGAGAATAGCTCCGCCGTTCATGGAGGCAACCGATGCGAGTCGACTGGTGTGTGTCGTCGTGGTTTCGTATCAAGAATTCTCTCTCTCTTTGGGGAGGGGTGTTGTTTCTTTCTTTTCACGCCTCGCACGAGAGAAAAGAATTTGGGCCTCTCTCACACAGCAGACAGACTCGACCCCTGTCAGTGTGCCTGTGGTAGCGAGAGACTGCCAGTGAGAAGCTGGAGGCAGCAGGTTGCAGGTCGCTATAGATTGAGATGAGACCGCCAGAGTCAGTGGGAGTTGGGAGTCCACCGAGCACCGCGCTGCGAGCCTGTCGTGTCCCTTGTCAGGAGCATCGGAGAACCCCCTGTGCCCCTGATCGACCTTCCAAAATCCTGCTCGTGCAGGTGGGGACCCTGTCCTCCTCCCATTCCTCGTTAGGTTTTGTGTTTTCTTTCTTTCTTCAGGCTCGACACAGCTCACAGGTGCGGACTGGCGCGTGCTAGCACTAAAACATTTTAACCACCGGAGCCGCCTAACCGACTGCGGTAAGAATGGGGAACATTCCACGACAAGAGTGGGGTGCTAACATTCTTTTCGCGCGCCAGTCCCGTGCCCAGTGTCGTGTGGTAAAATTCTTTTCGTCTCCCGCTTTTCGACCCTGTTTTTTTCTTCTATCGCAGCGCACTCGCATCTGTGAGCCTAGCGCAGCGCGAACTCGCCGTCTGGGCCTAGCGCAGCGCGAACTCGCTCTGAGCCTAGCGCAGCGCCTCGGAAAACACCATTTTGGCTCGCCAACAAGCCCTCCGCGCCCCCACACCGTTAGGATAATGGCGTTGGCAAAATTCTTTTGCGTGTTAGTGCCAGTGCGCGCCAGTCCCGTGCCCAGGGTTGTAAAATTCTTTTGCGTTTTCCCTCGTTGTAACACTCGTTGGAAGCGACATGCGTCTGCCGCACCTCGAGCAGCTTCAGCCTCCGCCTCCGCCAACTGGGAGGAGGCTGCCGCTCCTCGACGGCACGCCGTTTCGAATCGGCCGCAATGCCGACTCGGAAGCAGTCGTTCACGGCGAGTTCATCAGCCGCGATCACGCGAGCCTCCGCAAGTCGGACTCCGGCGGCTGGGTGCTCCGTGATCTGTCTCGCAACGGCGTCTTCATCGCGGGTTCGCTGCGGCTGAAGCCGAACCAGGACCACACCCTCACCGACGGCGACGAGATCCGACTCGGTGGACCTGGAGCCGATGCGGAGGCCATCTTCCGTTTTGTGCATCCGTCCAGTGGCTCGCCCGCACTTGCCGGCGGCGTGGGCGCCGGAGATGTCGGCACCAGTGGCGGCACCAGTGGCGAGGCGGGCGGCGGCACAGGCGGCACCGGTGGCGAGGAGGAGGCGGGCGGCGAGGAGATGGAGGCGGCTGGCGAGCAGACGGAGGCGGGTGGAGAGAGGGACGGCGAGGCGGAGGCGGCGGAAGAGAGCGAGGAGGAGTGCACGCAGGAGGACCCGGAGCTGATGCACTGCCTCGCCGCCGCCGCCGCCGCCGCCGCTGGTGCAGCTCCAGCCTCCTCTGCCGCATCTGACGACCTCGACGACGAGACTGCTCCGGGCCTGGCTTCCGTCATGCCCTTCTCTCTCTCGAACGCCGAGTTCGTGGAGGCTGCCCGGGGCGTGTGCGCCGCTGAGGCTGCCGCTGCGGCGGCGGCGGCGGCGGAGGAGGAGGAGCGAGCGGCCAGCAAGCCGGTCGCGGCGGCGGCGGCCGTCTCGGGGACGGGCGGCGCTGGTGCGGCTCCGGCCGCAAAGCGCGCGCGCATCGACTGCTTTTACCCCGACGCAGGGGCGGCGGCGCGAGACGCGACGGGAGCGCCGGCGCCAGGCTCGCCGGTGGGCGGCAGCAGCACGGGCCAGTCAGGCGCAGCTGCGGCGGCGCCGTCTGCGGGCGGGGGCTCGTCGCGGTCGCACGGGGGCGGCGTGGCGGCAGCGGGGTCGGGTGCCGGGGCGGGCCGGCTGCACGGCTTCTCTCGCAAGCCGTCGCAGGAGGCCAGGGCGTTGGCCGAGGCGGACGCCGTCCGCCCGGACGGGCAGGGCGAGCTGGGCCACAGGTTTGGCGCTCCGCCCTTCTCCGTGCTCAACAGCCAGAGGGGGTACTGGAAGGAGCGGAGGCACTTCTGGGAGGGGACGTACAACGTGCACTCCGAGGAGGGCCGCGGCGACAACCTCATCGGCTACAAGGGCCTCGGAGGCGAGGGGGCGAGGGGCACGTCCGTCTTCTGCCCCGTCCTCTCGGAGCTCTGCTGCCGCTGGTGCCCGCCCCCTCCCGCCCCTCCCGCCGCACCGGGCACGCCCTCCACTTGGACACGTCCCTCGACACGCCCCGCGCCTCGCCCCCCGCCCCCCCCCCACCCTTCAGGTGGTGCCCCGCCGGAGGGACTGTGCTCGACCCGTTCGCCGGAGGGTCTGTGCGCGGCGTGGTCGCCGGCTGGCTCGGCCTGCGGTACGTCGGCCTCGAGCTGCGGCGCGAGCAGATCGCGAGGAACCGCGAGCAGGCGGCGCGCGCCGGCGCGGTCGCGGGGTCGAGCGGCCACCGCTGGCGGCCTCCGGAGTGGGTGGAGGCGGACGCGCGAGAGCTCGCCGATGGCGACGGCCCCGCGGGCGCGCCTCGGCAGGCCGACTTTGTCTTTTCGTGCCCGCCGTACTTTGACCTCGAGCAGTACTCGGACGACCCCCGCGACCTGTCGAGGGCGCACAGCTACGCCACCTTCCTCGCCGCCTACGAGGCGATCATCGCCGCCGCCGCGCACCGCCTCAAGCCTCGCCGCTTCGCCTGCTTCGTCGTCGGCGAGATCCGCGATGGCGACGGCTTCATGCGCAACTTTGTGGGCGACACCGTCTCCGCCTTCCAAAAGGCGGGCTGCCGGCTGTACAACTCGTGCGTGATGCTGCTCCCCTTCAACACGCTGCCCGTGCGGGCCGGCAAAGCGATGGCCTCCTCCGCCAAGCTGGGCATGTGCCACCAGCACGTGCTCGTCTTCTACAACGGCCGCAACCCCGCGGCGGAGGTCAAGGGTCTCAACCTCGCAAACATGACGCGCCCGCTCGAGTGGGAGTGAGAGGTGTGCCGGCCGGGCAGGGATGGGCGCCTTACTCTGACTGGGTCTGGGATTCTGTGGCGCGCAACACTGAGTTACTTTTTACGGACATGCACATGTGTCCATGGTGCTTGGTGGTCCGATGTGACATGACCCGACCGCGGAGACGCACGTGAGACCGCGAGACGTCGTCTGGCAGCCGCCCATGATACAGCCGCCCCCCGCGCAGCCCGGGTCCGCAGGTCTTGCGAGGACCGAGAGGTCTCACTGATCACAGATTAGATAATATATCCAGGCGAGCGGGCGAGCTCTACGCGGGCTACGCACGCGCGTGTGTGAGTGTGTGCGCTCTATATTGTTTTTCCGAAGTCAAAATTATCACGCGCAAGTTTGAGCGATGACGGCGGGTTTGAGAACAAAAAATCCGCGCGGGGATGTGTCGACTATTCAGTCTCAGCTCTAGTCTACAGGAGGGGGCGGGGGGTCCGAAGGTCGACGACGCGGCAGAGAGCATCTCTAGGTCCTACACCTGCAGTGCTATGACGCGGCGGCGCCCGCGGCGCCTCCCAGCAAGTGGTGCCACTTCATCATGAGCTGCTTGACGCGCCCGGCGCTCTGCATCGGGTTCTCGCGCCGCGCGTCAAGCAGCAGGTGCTGCAGGTCGTCCGCGATCGCCTGCTCACGCTCGCGGTGTGAGGAGACGCTGCCGGCCAGGCGTCGGCCCTCGGCCGCCTCTCTCCTCGTCGTCGGAAGGGACTCCGCCAAAGTGGTCGAGCGACGCCTCCGGCACCGCCTCGGTGGTGAAGAAGCACGGCACGGCGAAGCGGGTGCCCGACTCGAGCCGCTCCACCTGGTGCATGTTCTCCCACCCGCTCGAAAAGATGACCGCGGAGCCTGATCACACCCGCCGCCGCCGTGAAGAGAGCGCGGCCCCGGCACGAGCGGTTCACCAGAGGGGGGAGGGAGGGGGCCTCGCACGGGCGCGTAGGGCGTGAGCACGCGCGGCCCGTCCCCGCCGTCGGCAGGCGGGTCGTTCCACACGAACGAGCCTGGGGGGCCGGAGGCGGGAAGTGTGAGAGGCTGCCGGAGGGGCGCCCCGCCCGGCCGGCCCCGCTCCTCCGGTGAAGTCGTGCCCCTGGGTGGAGAGGTAGAGGACGCACGAGTAGTGGTAGACGGCGTGCGTCGCCTCGTCCGTGTGCAGGATCACCTGTCCACATCGCGTTGCACGCTACAGCGCATGTCGCACCATCTCGCCTCGTCCGTGAGCAAATGTCACAGAGTCGCCCGCCGAGCCTCCCCCTCCCGTCTGCTTGAGGCCCGCCTCGTACTTTCGCGCGTACGCCTGCAGCAAGGGCCCGGGAAAGGGTCCAGGCCGGCGCGGGCCCGCTCGTGCGCGCGCGGCGCGCCTGCACGGGCAGCACGCGCGAGAGGGGGAGGCCGTACTCGTGCGAGATGGAGCGCCGAATCCGCTCGACGAGCCGGACGAAGTTGAGGATCGTCGCGGTCGAGCACTTGCCGCAGCCGTTGAAGTTGAAGCCCTCGAGGTCTGGGAAGACCTGGAGGTCCGTCTCTGCGGCGGTGGCGAAGGCGGGGAAGGTGACGCGCGAGCAAGCCTCGCAGCAGGCGCCCTCCTCGCAGCGGCGGCCCTCCTTGAGCGGCAGGTTGGCGTGCTCCGCCTGGTCGAAGACGTACTTCATGCCGGCGGCGACGGCGTCGACGCCCCCCTCCTCGGCGGGCTGCAGGCAAGTCAGGTTGCGCGCCAGCTTGTCTCGCGCGAGCAGTTGCCGCATGTCTGCGTCGAAGATCTCGCGTAGCAGCCGAGGCACCTGAGGGCGAGGCGGCGGCGGCGCGTGCAGAAGGACGGGCGCGTCGCGCCTCGCCTCCCTCTCGGCTCCCCTCTCGCCGCACCTCGGTCGGCAGCGCCTCGTCCTCAGGCATCGAATCGACCACCTTGACCGCCGCCCAGAAGGCAGCCTCCGCCGTGTCTGCGTCCATGTCCGCACCGGCGCCGCGCAGCGCTGCGATCATCGTCGCGTCGGCCTGCTGCGCCGCCAGCCGAATCGGCCGCAGTCCCGAGTTGGACGCCGCCTCCGCCTCCGCGCCTCTGGCGAGCAGCAGCTCGGCGATCTCGAGGTGGCCCGCCCGTGCGGCTGCGTGCAGCGGCGTCATGCCGTCGCTGTTCCTCGCATTCACCGCGGCACCGCCGTCGAGCAGCACCTCCGCCACGCCGTCGTGCCCGTGCAGCGCGGCGAGGTGCAGCGCGGTCGACTCCTTTGCGTTTCGCTCCTCGGGTGGCAGGCCCGAGAGGAGGAGGAGGCTGACAGCGCTCGCGTCACCTGCCTGCGCCGCGTCGTGCAGCGCATAGGCCGGCTTCGAGGCCGGCGGCGCTCCCGGCAGCGTGAGCGGGTGCACGGTCGCGAGGCTGGAGCAGAGGAGGGCGAGCCTCAGGCGCATTCGCTTGGGCGAGAATGGAGAACAAGCGAGCGAAAGGCGAAAGCGAGGGCGAGCGATGGCGAAGATCTCGTGCAGAAGAATCTTACCACAAAACTCCCTCGCACTACACTGGGCACGGGACTGGCGCGCACTGGCACGTGCAGAAGAAATAGCGGCTTCCTCTCGAGGTTCTCGAGGTGGATATCCTTTGGCCGCGTTGGGTAGCGAGGATTGGTGTGACGCGATCCACGCAGGCGTGTTTTCTGGCGGCCGACCGTCAGTGCACGGAGTTGCCCCTTCTCCGACTGACTGCCCCGGCTAGTTCCCGAGGTCGTCGGGAGTGACCCCTTCGCCGCCCGAGACCTAGCGCGGGTGGGTTGGAGGGGACTCGCTGCGGGGAAGGGGGCTGTGTAAGAAGCCGAACCCCGTAGTCCGTCCCGCTCCTCCCCATCGGGCCGCATACGCGAGTAAGCGGCCGCGCCTCGCAGATTCGTTTCTCGCGCCTGGGTCAGGCGCGCGGGGGCGTCCCCCGGCCGGGTCGCTCGACCAGCAATCCGAAGAGTGGCCGCTATGCGAAGGAAAGGGAGGGTGTAGAGGATGTAGAGTGTAGAGCGCTGTAGAGCTGTAGAGATGTAGAGCGCTCTGGAGTGAGTGCTGTAGAGCTGTAGAGCTCTACAACTACATCCGCCGCGCGACGAGGCGGGTGCGTTGTAGAGCGATGTAGAGCGCGATTTTGCTGTAGAGTTTGTTGTAGAGGCTCTACAGCCAAACCGCCGGGAAGGCAGTGACTCAAAAAGGGGTCGAGCCGCACTCCGCACTACTGGGGTGTCTCCGAGCTTACTGGAGCTCTGATGGACGGCCCTGACTATCCCTAACACACAGACAGTCACTCTGACGGCACACAACACCCTATAACTGCGTCATGACCAGCCTGCCATGCGTCGCCGGTGCCGCATTAATCGTTGTGCTTCTTTAGCAGGCGGTGGACTGTCGGCTGCGAGGACGGTCGCATTTGCGCGAGGCGAGGCGAGCATTGCTGCGCGTTGCATGCGCCATGACGCATGAATCGCGCCAGCGCGTGCGGGAGCTCCTGGCTGAGCGTTGAGTCCAGGCGAGTTGCGCTGGCCACGATCGCTACGCCGAGCCGAGCTGACGCGCCGAGGCGCCGGCCAGTCGCAGCCGTGAGGCATGCCACAGCAGCAGAGGCACCTCCCACCCATTGGGCGGGCAGACAGAAGGCCAGGGCAGCACTGGCAAGTGCAACGCGCCTCATGTCGGAGAGCGACCGTGCCTCTTTCGCCGCTTATGATGATTGATGTACGTACGTACTTATAGCTTACTGGGAGATGTAGAGTTTGTTGTAGAGATTTCACGTTGTAGAGCGCCTCTATATCGCTCTACACCTCGTCACGCGGCGGATGTAGAGCTCTACAGCTCTACAGCGCTCCAGAGCGCTCTACATCTCTACAGCTCTACAGCGCTCTACACTCTACATCCTCTACACCCTCCCTCAGGGTCCCGCCGGGCGTAGCCAGCCTGCCCCCGTGCCGCCGGGTGCAACTTTGTCCTATACGAGACGGGAATCCCTGGGACCCTGTCGTGTGGGTGAACCCTGCCCAGCCCCCCTCCGTGTGTCGCGATGCGCTCCCCACTCCCGTTCCCCTGTGTCCCTGATCGCGTCTTTCCAAAATCCTGCTCGTGCAGGTGGGGACCCTGTCCTCGTCCCATCCCTCGTTTGGCTTCTCTTCTTTCTTTAGGCTATATCAACTCGCGCTCCGGCGTCGCTCTTGAGCCGCCGCCGCGCCCGCCGCGCGCCGCCAGCCCGCCAGGGCCGAGCCTGCCGGCCCCGCCGCCACGCGGTGGCCGGTGCTGTGGCCTAGTGGCTCTGTGCGGAGGACCGGAGGTCGTCCGACGGCCGCGGAACGGGTGGGAGTGCATCATCGACCAAACCGAAAGCGACAAAACAAAAAACTCTCTCCGTCTTACCGCGCGGCTTGCTGCTCGAGCTCGCTCGCTCCCTCGCCGGCGCCGCCCGCCTCGACCCACCCCTCCCCAAACACGAACCGGATCTCCCTCCCCGCCGCCTCCTCCGAATCCGACCCGTGCGCCGCGTTCGCCTGCTTGTCGCGCCCCCAACGCGCTCGCACGCTCCGCGGCGCCTTTGGGCGCCGCACCCGGCCGTGCCTGTCCGTGTACCCTCTCGCCGCCGCCGGGTCGCCGGGCCCGAGCAGCTCCCTCCACGCGCCTATGGCCCCCGCCCGCTGCAGGAGGAGGGCGACCACCTCGCCGCTCGCGTAAAACGAGACCATCTCCGAGAAGAAGCGCCTGCCAGCATCGCACTCTGACTCGTCATCAGTGTCCCGCGGAGAGGGAGGCGGCCTCCGAGCAGAGGCGCCGCGCGCGGTCGCCGGACGATGAGCCCCACGAGGCCTGCGTCGAGATCGCGGCTGATGACCCGAGCTGACCCGAGCTGACCCGAGATTACGACGAGCATGAGGCCTGCAGGAAGGCCGCCGCCTCCCCCTCCCCCATCCTCCACCTCCTCCGCCGCACGACCTCGAACCCGTGCTCCGCGATCAGAGCCTCCACCTCGCCCGCCGCCCCACTCGCGACGCAGTCCGGCTTGAGGAGGGCGAGGGTCCGCTCGGGCGAGGGAGGCGGAGCAGGAGGCGCCCACTGGCCACCCTCCCCGAGGGCCGCCCACTGCCGCGCCGCTCCTGCCACGCACAAGGAAACCCGGTGAAGCAACCCGCGCCAAGCACCTCTGCTGACGTCGCGGCGCAGTCTCGGCGGTTGGGTCTCGGCGGTTGGGTCTCGGCTGCACGCGGCCAGCACCTCTGCACTCGTCTCCGCAGACGCTGGCGTCGCGGCAGGCGCCGAGCACGGAGAGGGCGACCTTGGCGGTGCGGGCAGGCACCCGGCGGCGAGCAGCCCCGTGCGCGGGCTGGACGAGCAGCGGGCCCAACAGCTCCGACAGCGCGGCGGCGGCGCCGGCAAAATCCTCCGCCTCGAGCCGGCAGGTCGCGAGCACCTGCAGACTCGCATCGTCCTGCACGCCGGCCGCGGCAGCCTCGGCGAAGAGCGTCTCCACCGTACCCGGCGATGACGCGCACACTCGCATCGCGCGGTTGTGCGCGTTTGGGCCGAGCGCAAAGGCGGTCCCGTCCTCCCGCAGGCGGGCGGAGCTCCTCGAGGGCGCAGCTG